TCCGTTTCATGATAGTGAATGTCAGTGTCTCCAAGTGTGTTCAGTTCCAGATCCCGTCCTCAAAATTTATTAAGTTCTGTAGCAAATCACTTGCCTCCATTGGTCATGCTGGTTGTTGTTAGCTCCAACGCTCATCTGCCATTGCAGATATCAGTATTGCTGCAAGTTTCTTCAGACATGAAAGGGTCTAGCGGCCCCCTCGTGCTCTCCTTGTCTTGGCGTGCTGGTCTTGGGTCCAAAATCCTGGTTCCGTGGTCGGGTCACCAGTTTATCGTATTGCAGAAACGCGATTTCTCCTCTGTCCTTAGCCTCTCTTAACAGTGGCATCAACGCTTTTCTTCTCTTCCTCACAGCCTCGGGGTAATCTTCGTTGATGTAAATCTTGGTTCCCTTAAGCTTCTTGGCTTGTTGCAGAATGTTAATCTTGTCTTTCTCATTCTTCAACTTAACCATCATTCCCCTTGGACCCCGTTCGGTCAATTTCCCCACTCTGTAAACCCGTTCCATCTCTATATCTTGATGAATTTGCAGTTTGTCCTTTAAAATCTCCTTCACCTTAGACTCCGCTTCCATCCAGCTTTCTCCAGCTGACTCCTTTATTCCCTCGAAGATCAGGTTTTTTTGCTTGGACTGCGCTTCCAATTGCTCCATTTTACACGCAACAGTTATTAGACTCTCTCGGGTTTTGTCGATGTCTTGAAAAGTGTCTTTGGCAGTGTTTTCATGCCCCCCCATGTCCATTTTAATCGCATCCACTTCTCGCTGGGTGAACTGCAAACGCGTTTTTATCTCCTGCATTTCTTTGGTCAAGTCATCGAATCTCTTGTTATTTGTCTCCATAATTAGTTTCACAAAGCCTTGGAAACTCTCATTCAGTTGGCACATCAGCGCAGTGTGCATAATCTTATGTTGCTTCATCATCTCAGCTACTTGCGCCGCTGAAAAAGAATCTTCTTCCGCCTCAACATCCTCGTTCACTTCGGATTTATTAGCTCTTTTCCCTCTTGGAAGCATTTTAGTAGTTGTAGAATTTGTTCAAAACCTTGACAATGTGGAAGATGTGAAAAATCGCAGAACAGAGAAGAGAAGCAATAAAGACATCTGCTCTATGTTAAGGCACTGTTGAGCTCATCAGCATGCTATGCGTGCAAGGCATCCTAAAACTCTAAACTGCTACAGAAAGCTGTGAAATCTGCCAGAGAACCACAATTACAGTATTTTTGAACTGCATGAAATAAATAGTAGCATTTAGTAAGCAGCTGTTTTTTTTTTTGTTGTTGCAGGGGTTGTATTTACTTCTTTTCACTTTAAAAGCAGCAGGTACAGTATGTAGGTTATCCAGACCTTTCACATGTAGCTGTATCTATAATGCAGTAAGCGTGTAAAGCTACAGATGGTCCGTCGGCCCTCGGCGGCTCAGGAGCTGCTGACAGTTCTGAGTCTGTGTTGCTTCATCTCTGTAAATCCACCGTGTGCTGTAGAAGTTAACAGTCTATACTGTGGTCACAGTACGTGCACAGTAGTCATTTTTAGTCTGGTTTAACAACCTGACTGAGCTCATGTTGCTCTGTCAAGTACTTTAAATGTTTTATCAGTTTGTCAGAGTGATTTTCAAAATTCAGAGTGACATTTAGACTGCAGAGTCGTACAGACACGCAGGCAGACATATGGACAGACGCAGAGAGCAGATGGTGGAGAGGCACGCTCACCGTCAGAGTGGGAGTTTGATGCAGAGGAAGAATGAGCAGGACAGAGAGATATTTCAGGAGAAAGATGGAGCTTTAGGCATAAAGCATCCTCTGCAGACAGTTAAAACACACACAGACACAGCGAGTGTGTTGGTTAATGGCATCACAGCCATCTGGAGGTTTGCACAGATTCTGTTCCTCCAGTTTACATTCTGCAGCAAACACCTTGCATTACTTTTATTAGAAATGACCCCGGTGCTGCAGAAGTACAGGAGATAAATAACATAGTAATATCCTAGAAATAGTATCAGTAGCATTTCATGTTTTGCACGATAAATAATCTAGTAGTGGCTTAGACATCGTGTTATCTGGTGAAACACACTCACATTCATAAATACTCAGCGTTTGGCAGATGTCGTCCGAGAAGGACTTCACACTCTTCAGCGATGTGGACGCCAGCCAGTGTGTGTGTGTGCTGAAGCTCGCTCCTAAGTGGAGCATCTCTAAAATGATTTCCCAGGTCGGTGAATGATGTAACGCATCACTCACTCTGCACTTACACTGAACACACACATACACAATTGTGTTTCCATCACTTCAGGGGACTTTACAGTAACTTGCAGTCCCCACACTGACTGTATAAACCAGTTTTAGTCCCCACAGCTTGAGTGTATGAGTAAAGTATATTATTTTCCCTGGTTTATTGACAATTTAGGTCAAGTTATATTATGAAGGAAATATTCACCTTGTTGCTTTGCCGATGATTCAGGCCAGTGACCAGCCGGGACATGAGGTGTGTGTATGTGTGTGTCTGCCGCTGGATAAAAGCTCCAGTATGTGCACCTGTTGGTTAACCCCAATGAGGCTCAGGCTTGATACTGAATGCTGAATATCCAGCTCAGTGCAAAACTAACCTTATACTGTATTAGCTTTGTTTATAAAGGTTCTCAGCTCAGCAGCAGCCTGAGAGCCATGGCATCATGACTGTCTTTGTGGCTTTTGCGGTCTTTCAGTGAGACTGTAACCGGGCGGTCGTACATCTCAGCTGAGTGACAAGTGAGGGTAGCTTCACTGCTATAAGCTACTGATTCATTTAGTGACTCTCTTGATTCAATATTGTCTGTTCAGTTTGGAGATTTTGTGTAAAAGATCTGTTCATACAGGCGCTGAGTAGCTCTAGTGGCTGTAAAGCACCAGGTCAAGCTCTCAATCAGGCTCCTCACCTGGGGCCAGTTTGCCAAGTGACCCAGGGGTTAGAATACAAATCTATTATATGAAAATCTCATTAATTAATTGGACCAAATTGTGATTTATGATACTATTTTGACTTGGCGTCTGAGACAGAAGTTACATTGTCGGTCGATAGCACAGCTGTTATAATCTTTATTCAAACTTGAAGCATATGTGCGCACGGTAAATTCAGTCCAGATGCCACTTATTGAGCTCCATTGGTGGCAAAGCGTCTTTAGGTGTGTTTTTGTCTTGGATGGGGCTCGCTAATCAGAATGTCTCACTTCGCATCCAGAGAAAGACCTCAATTAATCCAACAGATGTGTCTCATCAGGGTTTTCAGTTTTATTACCTTTCCTTTCCTGGTCTGTTCTCACACTCACATCCCATCTCTGCTGCTTTTACTTCACAGAAGTCAAATCAAATAGTTATTGATGTGCCACACATGTTACTTTAGCTGTGCTGTCCAACACTGTGGTAGTCTGACTTTGGGTCAGTGTCTGATGGCTTGTTGTGTCTTTGCAGGATTCCTCCCAACATAAGAGACATAGTTTACTGCACCGGGGTCAGTCTGATGGATGAGGACGTGTGGGAGTTCATCTGGATGAAGTTTCACTCGTCCAACGCCGTTTCAGAGAAGAAGATCCTGCTGGAGGCTCTGACCTGCTCCGACAACACCTTCTTGCTCAACAGGTACACAGTTTTGTGCCAGGTTGTGTGGAAGCTGACTTAAAATCTTAGATGTGGGAGATTCTTTGATGTGGACAGAATGTGGGTCCCTTAGGTTAATGAACAAACACCTCACCAAAACCTAAAGGTGACTAAATGCTGATGGGTGGATTAGTTTTTGTAACGGTAGCAAGTTTCCATCCTGCAAGTTAGACCTTGTGGTGCGTTGAAAGACAAAACAGATTACAAATTGAATGAAATGTGCAGTGAAAATTCACCCAAGGCCTTACATGTACATAATTGTAGCCCACTGTGCTAAGTGTGCATAAGTGTGTCAGTCAACAGCAGTGTATTTTATCAGAGGCTAACTGCTGCGATCGCTCAGGATGGAGCTCATTCACACAGCTGTACAACGAGACACATCGGTGTGTGTGTCCGTGTTTATGTGTGTACGCGTCAGGTATAGATTTTCCAGCCACAGTAAACTGTTCTGCAGTCAGAGAGGTAGTGCTGCAAGTTGAGATAGCAGCTATCACACACACACAAAACAAAACAGCACGAAAACACACTGATTGGTCGCACAGGAAATGGTTTCAGCACCAAGGGATTGTGGGAAAAGAGAGAGAAAATTGATTTGAGGGTTTAATGAAAAGACAGCAGCTACAAACAACCAGCTAACACACACACAGATGGGAGTGACAGAAAAACAAAGAAATGGAAACAAAAAGAAAGATGAAGGCAAACATTCATCTTGTCAAATCTGTTTCTTTTCCTCTTTCTTGTTAAGAAAACCCTCTTTTAGTTTTTGTCACTCAGACTAAGCTAACAAGCTAATGTTTGTGTTAATATCTTATCTCACACTTTTTTGGGGTCAAAATATTACCCACAGGCTAAGATGTTAGCTTGTTAACATACGTTAGCATAAGAAAATATGTTAGCATGTTAAAATATTATCAACACTGTAAGCGTAGGATGCAGTGCTAATGGTTAATGTCTTATATAATACTTTAGCATGCTAAATCTGTTAATAATTTCAAAATACTGTATGTTAGTAAAACTTACTAATGTCTGTAAGTATGCTAAAGCATCACAGAATACACAGGGTTGTGCATAGCCTGTTTTAAATATGAACACACTTTTAAATATGATTTACAGGTTAATATTTTAGCACCATAACTACTGAAATCTGTGCTAAAATAATCCGTATCTCATGTTTTAAGATGTTAATTCAAAAAATGTATTGATGTTTGTTAGTTTGCTAAAGCTTTTCAAGATATTAAGGCTAATGTTTTAGCATGCCCTAAACATTTTATATAGCACATTAACATTTATAGCAGTAATAATAAGCACATTTTTTTAGCACCTAACAAACGTTAGAATGCATCTTTGAATTGCTTAATTTATGTGTTCATGGCCACTGAGTCAGTCTGTGTCTCCCAGGTTGCTGAACCTGTCGCTGACCTCAGACCTGGTCCCAGAGCAGGATGTGATTGACGTCATTATCCATGTTGGCAGAAACCCTCAGGGTCGAAACCTGGCCTGGAAGTACTTCAGAGAGAAATGGGATGTCCTGAATGCACGGTGAGAGACTGAGAGAGTACATCATCTGGAAGATTTGTATGTGTTGTAGTGTTGAAACAAAATATTTTTAACTGTACAATGGTAGCAAAATGAATTACTGACTGTCTGTTTGTACTGACTCTCTGTCTCTGATCAGTTATGGGGAAGCACTGTTCATGAATTCAAAACTAATCAGTGGAGTCACGGAGTTCCTCAACACTGAGAAAGAACTTAATGAGGTAAACACGCAAACACACATACGTACACATAGATATAAACACATTATCCTGGCTTGTGAGGTGTAGCAGGGCTCTGGCCAGTTCAGCCAGACTTTTGTGCGGTTTTTGAGTCTTTTATTGACAGAAATGCCCAAACCACAGGTGAGAATCATCTTAAAATTACAGTGTGTGGTGATGCAAAATGAAGCTATTTATAAGTTATATATCAGATGCCAGACAGGCTTGTGAGATGTGTCTCTGCCACCACCATATTGGGGCAGGGTTCTGGCCAGGTCTTGCTGTAGAAATACAAGATCTTTGTGCTGTTTAAAAAAAAGAAATGTCCTTCTTAGCTGTTTAAATAACTAAAAACACCGGGTCCACACAAAACAACAATAAAAACATCAGTAAAAACAAGCAACAATTTAAACAATAGTCAAACGCATGATAAAGTGTTTAAATGAGAGTCCATTTATTTCTGCTTTCTCCTTTTAGAAAGCATCCATTCTGTACCATTAGATACATTGTAGTATACTCAGTAGTACACCTCAGTACACTGAAGTAATGAAAAGTAATAAAACTAGCATTTTGAATTCATTGAATGAGCCTCATATATACAAACGCTACATCAGGAGTTTCTCAAAAGATGCTTTCTAAAAGGAGAAAGCAGAAATAAAATGAAAGTAAAAGGAACAAGTATGGGGTAAGACATTACAGAGAAGTGACAGAAAAGATTTTTTTTATCCAGCTTTCCAATGTTCACAGCCCCACAGTTTGTACAATCATCAGGGGTTGTGGGCGGTTCTGAACACAAATCTGTCTCTTCATTTTTTAGTGATGAATGCATTCTGTGAAAACCAATTTTGCTAAGGTCTGTACTATTCCTGTTGGTATGGTAACAGCAAACAGGCTCAGCGTGGGCTCGGTGGCGCTGAATGAATTAAAATGGGACCCCAGAATGTAAAACTGCATCTTTTTATTTGCTTTTACTGAAAATGTTTTTAGAGAAAAGTAAAGTAAGCTTCCACCCACTAAGCACATCTAAAAAAGTGTGTCTGGGTGACTCTCAGAGGGAAGGGGAGAGGAGAAGAACAAGGAAGAAAGTTATAAAGTGTAAAGAAAATAACAACTGGAGGAAGAGGAGAGTTAATAATATGAACAATATTAAAGTGAGTTAAAGGGATGGATTTGCGCTTCGGTGAATCTGTCAAAGTTTCCCCTTCAGTCCTTAACTTTGAAAGAAAAATCGAATTAATTCTCTTCCTTCAACGAACTTTCTCTTTCCACAAAAAATCTCTTTAATACAGTACCTCTCCTCTTATGCTGCAGACCTTCCATTTTCTTACCGTGTTTTAAAACAATGTTTTTTTTTAATACCTTGACTTTCATGCTGAAAATTCTTCCTCTGATTATGAATGTTTAAAACAAGGATTCTCATTAGTTATCAAAGGCAGTTTAATGACTCGCAGTTTCTTGGTGGTATGTTTCTGTTCAACTGCCATTAAAGGAAGGAGAGTCTTCTTTATAAAAACATCAAGAAACCTCGAGTAAATGGCTGCCTGAGGATTTAATGTTTCACTTTGAGGTAGAATGAGCCAAAAGTATATGGATACTAATTAGTGGTTCGCCAATCACTAATTACTACTGTGTGTATAAAGTCAATTGTAAACTCCCTTGCATTTACAGGAAAGCCATCTTTCCGATAAGCTTGTTTTTCTTGTTTTTTTTTTTTGGTTTTTTTTTATTACAGACCAGTTTCATGAATGTGTATGATTGCATTCCTTAATGTCCGTTTTGGGCTACAGTACTGAAAACTATACAAATAGCTAAATCATCAGCACACTATGGTCTCTGTTAAATCCTTTCATATTATGCGTTGTAATGAGCTTTCAGCATCAAGAGAGCTGCACTGTTTCTGTCTTTCTTCTGACACAGACCGGTTTCAAACTTCTGTATTCTAATTACTTTCATATCCTTCATGCCCTCCCCATTATTTCCCTGTCCTTCCATCTTTTTCCCGCCCTTTCTTTCCTCAGTTAAAGGAGTTCATCCAATCCAGTGGTGTGGGGGCGGGGCCAGCGCTGCCACGGGCGCTGGAGATTGTTGAGGGCAATGTGCGCTGGCACCGCCTCCACCGGCGGCAGGTGGACCAGTGGGTGGGGGGGAGCCCCCGCTAATGCTACACCAGTTAGCTAGAGTGAAGCAACTGCAACCTGACTGCTAAGCTAATGCTAACACTCTGCTAGCATACAGATGCAGTCAGAATGAAAAAACTAAATGAAGAGAAAGACTGACTTGACTTCAGCTGGTAATTCTGCTGGTTTCGGTTTTAAAGAAATTGATTTCACACTTTTTATTTTGGGTGGATTATTTGTTATTTCAACCGTGCGTGGCTGATGTTGTTAAACTGTTTCTGTGCTGTAAAAGAAGTAAAGACATTTAGATGACTGAAGCTGCTAGCGAGAGAGAAATCATTGCTAAGGAGAGAAGCGTCTCCTGTCAGATTAATAACAAATGAACAACAGTAATAACTTGTGAACTCAAATTGAACCAGATGATTTGACCAGCAACATAAACTTTTGACAATCTCTCTTATTTCAATATTTGGACAACTAAATATAAAGCGCCAAAATCGTGAGGTTGTGTCAGGGGCTAACCTCTGTTCTGTTAGCTCCTGTAGAGCAGGGTTCCAGGAATTTTCTCTCTGTCAAATGTCAGTGGGATTCTGAATGAGGTTTTTTTTATTTCTGGACCACAACCCAGATTTTCCCATTTGATCATTCAAAATGTTTATCTGCAAAATGTTTCTGTTTAATACAAACAACACAAATATGATCTGAAAATTCTTCATCAAAATCAGATAATGCAGCAGAAGGTGATGGCTCTGTTCAGATCTGTTTCAGAGTTTTCTCAAAAAGCTGAACTTTCTCGACGTACAGGTAAACATGTGAACTTCTGATTCTCGACAGCAGCTGTTCATTCAGTCAGAATACCCTGGAGCAAGGCAGTAGGCTGTCCTGTTGTCCGCCTGACCACTTCTCATACATCTCTGAAAAGAGAAAGCACAACCTCTAACTCAGTGAAGACATGTTCATCTGACGTTTTCAGCATTTTGACAAATTGTGACTAAACGTGAAACTTTTTTTCAGCTCCTTTCCATTCCAAATTTCTCCCTAAACAGAGACCCAGATCTCTTTAATCCTGACCTTTCTGTGTGCTGCCAGTAAAAGGCAGATTTCCCAGCAGTTTGCTGCATGTCGATCACTGAACAGAGCTATAATTAAAGCTACATGGACTCAGTGTCCTCTGATCACAGCACTCAGAGAACTCATTCAGACTCATTAACCCTTCACAAGATTCAAACATTTTGACTTTATAAAGCATCTTGATGTTGTTTCATGATCAAAAACTCCAGCAGTCTGGAATATATCAGTGGGATTTGCTGGAGCCCTGCTTCAGAAATGAGCTTTGAATATGAAAGTTCTCCGTAATTTCAAAGTTTGGCTCTAAACCACAGAGAGCACCACGTGGAAAAATAGGTTTCCACTTAAAAGCTGAAATGTTATGATCTGTTTTTTTGTTTGAACAAGCAGAGCAGGAAAACATACGTGGGGGATTTTAGAGTGAAAACAAATTCATGAGGCAAAAAGTGTGCTCATAAAATGCATTATGGGATGTAGGAAGGCTGCAATGAAGACTAAATTTGACATGATTTTGAAATTTGCTACATGTTAGATTGATACAGTAAATTTGGAACAGAATTGTTTGTCAGCCTTTATAAAAAAAAAAATCTTGCAAATTAAAGTTTCGGTTTCCAGTACCCCATGTGAAAAGTATTAACTGTGCATCTACAAATTTAAATGTTCTTAACTGATGTTTAGTAGAAAGGCCAGATAATCATAGAAATACAAAATAATTCACTTTTGAAATCAAATGTACAAAACTTATTGTAGTCAGAGCAATCAGGTAAGAGAAGAGTAAAGAAGAAAATAAAATCTGACATTTTGTAAACATAAACAGCGACAAAAAAACAATTAAAAACAAACAGAAGATGTCTTGACAAATTTCTTGTGCAATCTCTGATATTTCCTTCTTAAGTGATTTTGCTAATGGAAGAAACAGAACAGAAAAAAAAACTTCTTTAAATTAAAAAGCTTAGGGCACTGAGATTTGTTCTTCTCATTGACTGTATATACAAACTGGACAAACCTTCCATATCATCACCCACTGGTTTTCTGAGGAGTCGTTTTGAAGCTCAAGTCTGCCCGTCGCCATATTGGTAGCACTTCACTCCGCTTGCAAAAGTGGGCAAAGAGGCAGAGCATGAGTGGAACTCACTGAACAGCTAGAGGCGTGACCCTCCCACCTGTCACTTAATTATGTGTAACTTTTAGTCTGAAAATTATTTAAATTGGCAAATTATTAAAAAACATTCACCCCCCATACAGTTGTCATGGAAGGGGAAATTAGCTATAGAGACCAAAACCGTTTTTGTACCAAGATGTAAACATGTTTATTTTTGCTGTACAGTTGGGAATTTTAACATGGGAGTCTATGGGGATTGACTCCCTTTTGGTGTCTAGTGGCCGTTCGAGGAACTGCAGCCTCAGAGGTTGTTGCTTGGTTCTTTACTTTCAAGTGCCAAACTTAAATGAGTCAGAAACCACTTCCTTGTTAAGTAATTCACTTTTCTTTATTAGAAATAAATTAAATTTAGGAGTAAAGAAAGATTTCACTTATCAGCCATTACCATTTTGCATCAAGGCTGGTTTAATGGATAATGTGCACAACAGAAATGAGATTGGTGTAAAAAAAAGTTTTGTAAATGCTCTGAACAGAAAGTAAAAATACTAATCAAGAAAAAAAGGGAATAATTTGGACACATACTAAAGTGCTTAGCCCAAACTCCACTCACATAAAATCTGTCAAAAACTGAAATATTTTCTCATTTAAAGACCTTGTAAAACTTAGTAGTAATTCCTGATAGAATCTGTGGAAGCCTGAGAGGAGTCAGGAGACCAATAACTTGCATTATAAACTTTCTGATTGACAGCATTGGAGAAATTAAAAATCTCTGGTTTTACAGAACCTGAGAGTTGCTGGACAGAAAACAAAGGTACAGAAACAAACATTGTTTTTAGCTATTCAGTAATTACCTTTCAATTCACCCTTTTCTGTCCCCAGTTAAATAAATATGAACTGAGTGGACTCAAAATAAGGGATAGTAAAACTGTGGCAAGGAAATGTCTGACAAGACAGCTGGCGAGACTGTCTGGCTTAGGTTGAGTGTCTTTATATGCAGATAATGTGGCTTTTTCAATGATACAAAGAGACATGGCTGATTTAAGCCTATCATCAGCTGACTTTTACAGCTTGTTAAAAAGATTGCAAAGTGTGATGAACTTAGCATGATAAATTTTGCAGCACGATGGATTCTGTATCTTAATGGGAATTTTCTTACAGTTCAATAAGGCTGTAATGTTGATTCTAGGTGTGATAGAAATAATGAAATTTATCACCTGATGACCTTTCAGGACTTTGAATTTTACAGTGCGATTGATTCCTCATTGAACACTAGTTTACAGTGACAGATTCCATAGTAAGACAGATACTATGTTGTGATGGATTTTATGGCATGATGGAGATCTGTAGAGTGTGATCAGATTAACAGGTCTTCTATCAGCATGGATTGAACAGAATAGTAGCTTTGCAGTGGCCTGGACTTCACAGCATGGCTACAGTGTGAGGGATCTTACAGCGCCATGGATTTCCAGGGTGTCGATGTCTTCTGTAAATGATTTTGACATTTTAAACTATGGGTTCTTGAAACGATGAGCTGGACACAAAAATGCTGGAAAAACACCCTTTTATGACTTTTTTGGAACTGACCCCAAAGACTAGATAAATCTCTGGAGATATGAGTTGAATCATAATGAACTTTTGCAAAGTCTGGTGTGTTGCACCTCCATCCTGTTGGACAAACTTTTTGAAGTTATTCCTCTTCTGTGAGATCCGGCTTTGGTGTTAATAATTGAGCCATATATTAATTAATGGGCCTGCCTGCTTCTATACACTGTGTCCAGTGTTTGTCTGTGTGTGCGTGTGTGTGTGTGTGTGTGTGTGTGTGTGTGTGTGTGTGTGTGTGTGATGAAGATGATGAAGATAATTGCAGCGATGGTGGTGGTGACTGTTGTACCAGTCATGACGATTTTAGTTATTGTGGATATAATGAGACTGAGGATGCAGGTGGATCTAATGATGACCACAGTAATGTTAACCTGCTGATGATATGAAAAAGCTAATATGTTAATTATTGAGTGGATTTTGAACCTTTGTTGTCCTGTGAGGGAAATTGGGTTTACAGACACCAACTCTGCCAATGTGCAATAAACACTGCAAATGATACAGGTATGATATTTAAAATGAAAATGGGGGATTTGAAGGTGTTGATGGTTCATGATGATTATAATCATAAAGGTGATGATGATGACTTAGGACCAAAAAGGAACAGGAAGTCGCAGAAAAGTGTTTAATCCTATTTCCTGTTTGCACTGCTGTGGTTTCCTGTGTTTTTTGATTGGACAACATTAAAATGGTTAATCATGTGTGTGATTCCATCTGTTTCTATCTGGTACTCTGTACAAAATTAAGGGGCAAGTTGTCAGAAGGCCTTTGAGTCATTTTTTACCTGTTGCGACCAACATTTTCACATAAAACAGTCATGATATGAATGTACGACAACTGAAAACATTTCACCCCCTAAGGAAAGATGGTAAGATGAAAAGGTAGTGAGTGGGCCTTGAGTCCATTGTTATATTTTTCCCACTGCAAATCACACTTGTATTTGTTCTTTTAGTGTCCTCAAGGTTTTAAGATTCAAAAAAGATTTCTGCAGTTGCTAGGTGTGAGGGGCTGCTGGTCCCTCAAGTGGTTTCTCCAGTATGTATTCAGGTTTCAAATTGTCTTTCAACACTGTCATCATTGTTACTTAACATACTGTATACCACTTTCCCACCAAAAGTACCGTGTATACATGGGTTTTTTTTATACCCCAGCTAAACCATCCTTTAACTGGCTTCTGACAGCTTTCTCACTGCCGACCGACCTGGCTTGGCTCTCCAGCTGATGAGCTTGTTTCCTCTCTGGTACATCATATTTGACATCATCATGTTAGTGA